AAAGAGTGTATCAGCATCACTTTTTTCATGTGCCAACTACTCCTGACGTTTTCCTTCATGCTAGTAAGTCTGCCCTTCTCCAAGCCATATCCTAGAATATCCAGGCCAGGCATATCCCCTATAACTCAGGGTACATCAGTCAAACTCTGCCACAAAGCTAGCAGTGGCTTCTCCACCCCTATATTTGCTTAACATGGGTGGAAGTACAGCAACAGTTGCTAGAACTAGATGTGTCAGAAGCGCTGAAAAGCCTCTCTGACAGCTGACTTGTTCTTTTCAAGTACAAAGAAACAAAGCAGAGCTGCCATACATGCTGAAGGCTTTAGTCTAAAAACCTGGAGAATGGCCACAATTATCAGACAACACTTACCTGGCCCTGAAATGGTTGCTGGAACCAAGCCCAAGTTGTACTGTGGGTACGGGGGCCCTCTGGAATAGACACTTGTTTGTGGACCTGTGCTGGCCTGGGGAGGGGCAACATGGTGAGATGTCATGGACATCGCTGGCACTGGCTGAGGTGTGAAGAGGGAAGGCACTGAAGGCTGAGAAGGTGCTGAAGAGGCAAATGACGACTGATAGTTGGGCTGCAATTAAAAAAACAAAGAACTTTCAAATGGTTGACAGTGTCATGTACATAAACACACAAGCAGATGCACTTTCTATCCCTGTCACTTCTTGGGCAAAGAAGATGCTGCTGCTTCAGTGCCCTGGATGGATTGGATCAAAGGCCTTTCCCACCACATAACTTGCTCAACAACTCTTCAGAGCATTCTCCGGCTCTCAGAAGGATTAGTCCTCAGGAGCCAGTTCCCATACAGTGACTTCCTGGAAGCACAACCAGAGGATATGACGAAGGAGGAATAATGAAGTAATAGAGGCTGGAAACAAAACTTCCTGAACAGTTTTCTTGGGAAAGAACTGAGATGAAGCCACATTACACTAATTTTACTGAGATATGAAGGCGAGATGGGCATAGGAGAATGAACCACAGCCCCCTTTTCCCTCAGTATGCGAGATCTCAGTGGACCACTACACTTGTAACAGTCTCCTCCAGTGACTGCATATGGGACAGGGCTTTATGAAAAGCCTACTTTTGGATTATCACAGAGCTTGTGTCTGCTCCAGTGAAGGACATCACTGATGAGTTCCTCAATGCCTGTAATCTGCATCATCTCCTATCACTTCATATGCCTTCCACAAGCCAGTAGCCTCCCTCAACCCAGTAGCCTCCCTCCCTCTCCCCAGGCCATGAACATCATGAGTTTAAGGCCTACCTTCTCTGGATGTCTGGGACCTGTTTTGTGAGCTGCTCCTTCAGGGGCAGAACCACCCTTGGCTGCTGTGGACGTGTGTTTAGTGACACCTACATTGACACGAGTTTAGGGAAAAGGGGGTGGCTGCTGATCACCCACATTCTCTCCCTGAGCATGGAAAAGCCGGTCTCGGAGCTGCTCGATCAGGAGCTGAAACAAACTATGCTTTAGCAGAAGTGCCTTGAGAGCCTCACATGGAAGGTGCTGAGGAGGCATTCAAAGCAGACTCTGACCCAAAGTACTGAGCATCAACCTGCAAAATTAACCATTTCCCCAGTAGCCACCAGGGAAAAACAAAAAACAAACTGTAAGCAACAATCTGGGACATCACCTGCCATATTCCCAGACAGATGAAGTCTCACTGATCCTTTACCCAGTCTTTAGGGTATTCCCTCCCCAACCCCTACTCACATTTGGGCACTAGACAGATTTGTTTCAAACTACAAGGTGACCTCTGCATTCCCTTCCTCTACCAGCTAGTTTCAGAAATACATGCAGCTTCCCTGGAAAACTGCTTCCCAGTGGTGTTCCCCACAAAACATTTTCTATCATTTCTATAGTTCCCTTCCTTTTCCCTGAATCAAAGGACCTACAAAGAAAAACCAAATGAAGACAAAAGCTGTGTCCTAGAACAAAACCCCACACCTCTACTTTCAAGTTACCATAACTAAGGTGAAACCTTAAGTCCTGATGCATGTCAAAACCCAAGTGCACTCTCATACAAAGTATCATTTTTCCCCACATACTAGTCTTTCCCACAACAATCCATTTCTCACTCACCTCTTTAGAGCTGCTGGGTAAGTAATTCATTGCAGCTGCCAAGCATCCTTGTGATGCCAGAAGACTGGCATATTGGGTGATTCGTTCTGCCAAGACAGGGCCTGGCGCTGGTCCTGCTGTGCCTTGGAGCATCTCAATGGACCTGCTCAGCACCATCACCTTCTCTATGAGATCCTGAATAAGCCAGGGGGAGGGAAGAAATAGACCACTCAATCTCACTTGTTTTACTGGTCCATCTCACGCTTAGACAATACCAGATGGCTTTCCCCACTTTCAACTGACATCGGGTCCAATGTGAACAGAAGTTACTCCACTCTGCACCAGGTACTACCACTGATGACCGTTTCCTCAGGTGCACTTTGTGGAGGAAAAAAAAGGAATCAAGAAGCAAACCCTGACACTGCTACTTTTATGGCAAGGGAAAAAAGAAAAAGTCAGAAGTCACAAGGACATTCCAATTAACTGTGCTCTTTTTACTAGGAAGTTACTACTGTAACTCTAGGAGTTACAAGCTATATACTTGGAAGCGGAAGGATTAAAACCATACAAGGCAAAATTCACTAGGAAAAACTATTACTGCTGACAAACGGACCAGAAGGTTTTCAGTTATTCAAAACTCCTCCAACTCCTAGAAATCAAAGTAATGTTTATATCTATAGAATGATACATGCATCACTAGCTGATAACTGATAACTAGGAGGAGATCAGTTTTGAACAAAACTAGGAATGCTGAAGATGCCTTTTTGTTGCTGTTATTCATTAGTGGGGTTGCAAAACCAGGGAAGTCTGTAGCAGAGGGCATTATCTGCAGATACCTGAGTGGAAGACTTGTGTAGTTCATTCTAGCAACCGGTGGACACAACAGGGGTTAGTGACTTAGCTAGGACTGGTTTAAGTGTAACAGGTAGGTAACAACACTGACTTAGAATTACTGATTCATCAGCAAACTTTGACTTCCCATACCTGACATTCTACTTGCAGTGGGAATAATACAGTCTAGACTTTATTTTATTTTGCCAGAAGGTGTTCTGAAGGTACAGCTAGATAACTGGAGCATTACAGTTAGACATGATAAGCACAGCAGCAAATATACTCCCAGGCAACTACCAGTAAGAAAACAGATACAGTATAAACTTCCCTGCCTAAAAAGAAGCTGAGAGGTGACTTCAGTATACAAAGACAGGCGGGTAAGCCGTAACTCCTGTCCATGGCTGGATTTATGTGCGATGTAATCAGTACTCTCTAAACACACAAATGCTTAATGCTTAAGAGTGCAAGCCCCCTTTATGCGTAAACCCATAATCCAGGCTAGAAGGAGATACCTTGGTGACTACAAACAGGTCTCCACTGTCAGCCAGATACTCTGTTTGAAGGGATAATACAAACAGATCGAGGCTGCCAGATTGGCCTAATGAGGAGTCAAACCAACATTATAGCACCTGTACCTGCAGATCAAGGGGTGACGAAGTCTCATGGGTTTTTACCCAGCATTCCACCAACCTCTCCACATTGCCTGATGAGATATAGCAGAGGCAGGCATCATTGGACAGGGCTGCATCTCCCTCCGACTCTAAGCGGGCACCCAGCATGTCTAGAGAGGAAGAAATACACCCAACATATAACACACACTCTCTTTGAAGAGCTCATTAACCTCAATGCTCATCTCTTAGCAATCCTACTCTGGCTTAACATGAAAAAGCATTCACAGCTTTGGATCTGCATCTAATTAGAATCACAGAATCATAGAATCATTTAGGTTGGAAAAGACCTTTAAGATCATTGAGTCCAACCGTAAACCTAACACTGTCCCACCAAACCATGTCCCTAAGCGCCACACCTACACATCTTTTAAATACCGCCAGGGATGGCGACTCAGTCACTTCCCTGGGCAGCCTGTTCCAATGATTGGTAACCCTTTCAGTGAAGAAATTTTTCCTAATATCCAATCTAAATCTCCCCTGGCACAACTTGAGGCCATTTCCTCTTGCCCTATTACTTACTGCTTGGGAGAAGAGACCAACACCCACCTGGCTACAACCTCCTTTCAGGTAGTTGTAGAGAGTGGTAAGATCCCCCCTCAGCCACCTTTTCTCCAGGCTAAACAACCCCAGTTCCCTCAGCTGCTCCTCATAAGACTTGCTCTCTAGACCCTTCACCAGCTTCGTTGCATAATTCTTGGATAACACAGAGAAATGGGCACCATTAAGGAATCCCAAAGCCAACTTGGTTGAAAAAAGTAGTAATTTTTTTATATATCTGCCAATTTTTATATGTCTGCCCAGACATATAAAAGAAAAAAAACCCACCACCTTAAAAATTACAGATTAATTCAGTGAAAAAATCCAACACTTTTTTTTTTCCCCCCAAAAAGAGGTGTAGGAATCTCCAGGCAACAGTAGTAGACAGCTAGTAAGCTGGTAGTTGTCAATGTTTAGCACATGCTAGGAGATAAAGGTGAGCGGGATCTATCTTACTATCACCACCGCCACAGTCACTTTCCACCCCTACAATTTGGTCTGTAAAAGATGTCACACTTTCTTGCATTTCAAGTGTTACCTGACTTGTATAAAGTGCTGGCATTTTTCCAACAGCACTTAGCTGGTCCCATCAGCCAGGAGCTAGTTTCCCACCTAAGCAATGTGAGTAACTTCATCAGATTCTGTCACTAGATTGCCTGCTAACTCTGACTCTCAGAACAACCAGTTGCTGAGCCTGTTGAACTATTAACAGGACTGAGGAAACTACTGAAGCCATCAAATATTCATTAACCCCTGGTTTTGAGCTTAAAAGGGAGGGGAATGTGCTGAATGGTTAACTTCTTTCAGATGGAGTGAAGCCACTGTTTTACTGTTAAGGAAATCCCTTTCTCCTCAGAATATAATAATAAATATCACTCTTTTAGTGTCTCAGTCTAGTGCCTATCCTATTTTTTTCCACGCTATTGGTAAAGGTGACAGGAAAGATCAGCATATATAACCTTACAGGATTATTTTCAGCTCCAGGGTGCATCTGTCATTCTCCTAACTCAACACTCCACACTTATTAAGCTCCAGCTAGCTGTAATGAGTAAGGAGTGCTTTACTTCCTCAGCTGTACCCACTTCTTTCTGTAAGCAGTTCAGAGGTGCCCTCCCTCAAGGGAAATCATAACAAAACATAGTATGCTGCATACCACAGAGCTGGGTATAGTCCTCATGCTTTGAGTACGTTAACAAGATGGCCAGTGCCTCCTTCCAGCTCCGTAGATCACACATGCAAACAATGTCTTGCCAGTTCTGTTGCACAATGGAGGAAAGGAGCTGTAAGGGAAGCAGAAGGCCTGTCAGTCACTGAAGGCAAAGATAAGCTGACTGCTTAAGCAAGCGTACACACAGCAGCAGCTCACTTTCAGGCACGCTTTCCACTATGGAGCAACTACCTCACTGTACATTAAGGTCCACCAATCCCAGCATCCCAATGTTAACAGTAATTGGAACCCAACACCTCTAAAGAAAGTGAAAAAGCCCAAAGCACTTAAGAGAATATGGAAACAGCTGCACTAGGAAAGACTAAAGATCTGTCTAACATATATCCTGTTTCAGAGCAGCTAGTATCAATGACTGGGAATACAGCGTTAGGATGTTAGAGTAAATGTTGAGTCAAGAGGAGATGCACAGATTCTGCTGACATTCTACTTCCTGCAAAAGTATTTCCACATATATTCAGGCAAAAATCTGCCAAGATATCACACATTTTCCCCTGCTCAGTGGGTACACAAAACTGTCACTTACCAGGGAGAGTTTTGTCTTCCGCTTGGCAAAGTAGCACTTCTGGGTCTCCTTTAGGAGCTTCTCCCCACCAGCTATAGCTAAGATGATGGCATCAGCAAAGCGTTCTGCTCGCATGCACAGCTCCACTGCACCCTCAAAATTCCCCAACAAAAGGGCTTGACTGATGAGTCCATCTGTATCTACAGAGGTGAGAAGCAGAGTCAGCCCACAGGAGCATCATCCATATGCATTGATGATGCTTGTTTTAAAAAGCAGGCAGTAAAAACCAATAATATATGGAAGCCTAGCTAAAAGAAAATTTGGAAACCCAAATCAGATTTTACACTTTAAAAAAAAAAAAAAAAAAACCCAAGACACTGACTTGACTGTAAGGCTTCCATCATCTAGAAGATTGTCCTATATTTTCAATGGGTCTCTTACCTGGGAAGACTATCCCTCTGCACAATGCTGAGATATACTGCATGACACGGGGAGAGGTCATGTGTTTTAAAAGTATCCATCTGCCGGAGTGGACCAGATTCTTCCTGGTCTCTCTAATTTTCTGGTTTCCCCCTCCCCTCTTCCTAGGATGAAATACACTTCATGTAACACACCTTCTGTGACAGGAATCTCCAATGCACTCATATTCTGTGGGATGAGGTTGTCAAAAAAGGCTGAAGAGGAGGAAACAGCAGCTACATCATCACTGGAATTTATCAAAAGCTGTGCAAAGAGTGCAAGAGGTTAATTAATTCATTGAACACACAGATCCTGCCCAAAACAGTTCAGTGGATTACACAATGGGATGGGGCTGCTCTCCATTTGGTTGAGCATGCTCATAAATCTGATTTCAACTTGGAAACCCATCATGCCTCCTGCCACTGCTCTATCAACCTGCACAGTTTCACCAGGGCAGCAAAAAGAGCAGTGCTGCTATTGACAAAGCTTAGGAGATTGATGGTATAAAACATGCAATGCCAGCAGTATTGCTGGCCAGCATTCATCAACTCAACTGCCAGCCCTTGAGCAAGCTGAACAATTTTGGACAGAATAAGGACAAGCCCAACAAGTGACATCTGTAACTAACAGTAGGATCACAGTCATGCCTGGTGCTCTACTGAAATGCAGGACACAATTGCTATCCCTAGAATATCTTAGCCAGTATTTAAGGTTTGTAAATAAGATTACTAATTTGAGGATAGCAGTTTTAGATCTCTTAGATGAGCAAAATTTACAGTGCATGTTGAACCAGGCCTTGGAAGGTATCTGAAGATGGACACCCCAAAATCATGTCAGAATACATTTCAAAGGACAGAGGTGAAAAGGAAAGAAATGCAAAAGAAATACCACAGCAGAAGTTTCACAGAGGAAATCCAGAACTGTAGCATGAAGTTAAGCTGGGGTGAGGCTAATTCTATCACTGAAGAAATCAGCCCTGGTGAAGCAAGCCTTCTTGCAGTGTTAACAGCCAGGAGTCCGTCTTCATCATTTGCTGATTTGTTTTAAAGCCAGAAGGGACCGCTATGATCATTGAGTCTGACCCTGTGAGGGTCTGACAGGCCTGTGAACTGCCCTCTGCAATGCCTGCATTGAGCCCAACAACTTGTGGTTGGAATTAAACCTTCCTGTTCATTCTGCCCTCCACTGCTCTCCCAGGCTGGCAAGATGTACAGGACATACCTGATCTGGCTGCGCAGCATTTGTCTCATCTGCCTCAGGAAGGGGCTTCTTATCGGGGATCCCATTACTCAAACATGAGGCGATCTAGAAAAGTAACAGACATGCAGATAGTGAAACCCCTATCAAAGTTAAACACCTGGGCAGCAACGCCACCAAGTGACGGGCAAGCCCCAGACAGAATTCCCCCAGCTCTTTCACCTGTTTGAAAAGTTCCACCTCTCCCTATTCCTGGCTGGCTGCCTATCAGAGGTTATTTATCCTTTTCAGACCATTGTCCATGCTGCTGCAAGAGTTTCCTCCCCTGCAGCTCCATCAGTGCTATGCCAGACTGTCTTCATCTGTCACCTTCTTCCTGTCTGAGGAATCCCCTGAGATGCAGAGAGCTGGATGCTAGAAGAAGCTCTCACAACTGCACTTTTATTATACACCTCCCAGAGCACCAACAACTGGAATCAAGATAACTGGGCTCAAGATCTCTTTGGTCTGATGCAATACAGCTACAGTTATACCCTTACAAGTGCCCGCAATTGCTTTTTAATGAGGGATACTTGATGTGCCTGATATTTCATACAGTTTGGTCTTTCATGTGCTGTGAGATCACTCACTCATTTCCAGTAGGGACCCTGCGACCCTCTTGCAACAGCTTTAGTCCTGCAAAGGTTTCTCTCTATTGGAAAGACCCCTTACCTTTTTTTGCAGATCTTCTTTACTGTAGCCCAACAGCTTGAGGAATTTAGTCCTGGACTGCTGCTCCAGATTCACCTGAGTCCCAAAGGATATTAAAAAGACAAGAAAACATGTAAAATCCTAGATATCTACACACTGACAACTGTTGGCTGCTTCTGGCAGCAGCAAAGTTTAGAGCTCAGTTTATAGATAAGGAACTCAACTATGACAAATTCCATAGATTTTCCCACAGTAGTCATTAGGTGGACAAGTTATAATCATGATAAAAGGGTGAAATTCAAGTTTGTCACAGTTACAATTGAGGTACAACTGCATATCAGGGCTATGACTATAAGCATACCTAGTGTACTTGGTCACTAATTCCCTGGATGCTCTAGGAATCACCAAGCTAATCTCTGCATAGAGACAATGGACTGATTTGAGTCCAGATGAAACTGAGACAAGGTGGTTACCTGAATTCCTAGCTGGCTTCACAAAAATTAGTTAACTAATTGTTACAGAAGCTCCCTGGGTGGGGATTTCAGACAGTCCCGGAGATTCCCACAGGTTGCACGCAGCCTAATTGATAGGCTTTATTTGTATGCTTTAACACGATTAGCATTCTGCAAGGAGAATCTGTCAGTCCCAGGCTGTTCCTACTAAAGAATTGATCAAACTGTACATGGATAATATATTTGTAAACAGTCAGTAGAAACTGGTCTTGCATATGCAGGAATGGTCATGCAGAACAATCTTTTGTACACAAGCTTGGTTTGCAGTTTAAAACATAAGACATTAAGATATAATTTGGCAGTGGGTTGAGATGAGAAAATCCTTTTTAGCGCCTTGACACGAAGCCCAAACAAGTCCATTGAAAAGACCATTTCTACTGAAAAATAAGGCAACCTCCAAGACCTCAACTGCAAAAACTTTTCTTTAGACAAGTAAGTAACTAGCCTATTCAGTTCCATTTTATACCTTAAAGAACAGGAATATAAAGGGCTAGAGAGGACCACAATGAACACATGCCACCCCAGGACTGTAAAAGAACTGACCTCTGTGTTTCACCACAGCCATCCTACCTTCAAGAAGTTCCAAAGGTTCTCATCAAATGGCAACTTGGCTGTCTGGATCTTGCCCTGGCAGTAATCAAGGAGATTCCCTGACTGCAAGGCCATCTGCAGGTCTCTGGATCGGAGCAGGAATTCAGTTTCAGTAGTGACTTGACTGATGAATACCTGGTGTGGGTAAGTCTGCTGCATTTGCTGCCCAGGAGCTTTGGTAAGACCAAAGGAAATAAGTTTTCCACCAAACTGAGAAAGACAGAGGGAGACACAGTAAGCATTCTTATAAGCAAAGGTAAAAGCAACTCACAGCTCTTCATTCAGCAAGGTGGACTTGAGCTCCAGTTGTGATCACAAGGAACCCAAACAGTTTAATGTGTATAGATAGTAGAGACATTGAGGGAGTTCACATCACAAGTCCTTCAGCTGACGGCTGATAACCATGACACTTGTGTATGTGCTATCAGGCCAAGCCAATTGCCAATCCCAGAGAGGCACAGAGGAAAAAGTACCATTTGGAACTGTTTGTTCTTTTCTGACACGGAGAGGCAGGCTGCAATGATAAAAACTATCATGCAGATAAAGAGAGGAGAACAGGAATGCGTGTCACAGCCTACGAGAGCAGCTTTTATGAGTCTTCCTTAGTTTTGTCAACTCTTACTCATAACCTCCCATTCTTTGCTACAGGACTCCTTCTTGTTGGAGAGATATCTGAATGTTGAGCAGGAAAGCTTCGCTCCATGGGACACCACACTGCACTTTAAACAGGCATTAGAACAACTAGCAACGGGAAGATAAAAAGGTTTCTCTAGTGAAAGAAAAAGATTGTGTCACAAGACGACACATCTGTTGCATTTTAAGTTAAAGATGATCCATTCACTTACTGCAAATGAAACCCCCACAGGTCTGCGAATCCATTTGGGTGGCTTTTTTAATGGTGGAATCAAGGTGGTCTGAGCTACTTGCTCTGGAACTTGCAGAGGAGGAAGGATCTGTCCTGTGCCAAAGGGATCGAGGTTGTTGAAGGAGGAAGAGATCTAGAATCAGATGGAGAAAGAAATAAGATATAATTCAATTCCTCTCTGTAGGGAGTAAGGACAAAAAATATTGCTTAGTAATTAGTTACTTCCCTCACTGATGAAAAAAAGCCTACTACAGCACCTCTTCCTGGAATAGCACCTGGCCTCTAAGTGAGAGAAATGGTATTTCCAAACAGTTACAGAAATTATTTCTCAAGAAAGCTTCACCTTGTAATTTTTCCTTAGCAAGATGCAAATTCCCTAACAAACACTGCCTGGCCTAGCACCCAGCTCATAAACATAGGAGTTACAAAATTACTTGTTTTATGCAAGACAGTGACAACATATAGTCAAAATTGTCCAACTTACTTCTTGTTTTGCTCACAAAGGAATGCTGACTCCCTTTCTGTTGCTGGGGTCTTTCAAATGGGTTAGTTTTAAGGACTGTCCCAAGCTTTTATAACTTAGATGAGGCTGGTGAAATCATCTCTCCAGACTTTCTTGCCTAGACAGGAGTGTCAAAAGTGACCTCTGATCTGGATTTCTGACATTTGTGAAGTCAGTGACCATATATACAATACTGTTCACGAGCATTCTTAATTTTTAACATTGTTGGCGTAGATTTGTTGTTTGCTAAAGATAACCCTGTTCAAGTTGGAACTGGACCATAGTGCATAGCTCCAAAATAGCGCTGACTAGCATACCTGAAAAGAAGCAACACAAGGCTCATCAAGCTAAGGTTGCCAAACAAAGAATCACAGACAAGATCTACATGTTTTATCTTTCAAATCTTTCTTGAGGGGAAACCAATTTCAAAGAACGACCATTTCCTGGAGGAACAGCTTATACCTAACAGATCAATCTCCCCAAACCTTCAAAAAAATAAATACATGACGAGGGTACCAGTAACATCAACCACCAGGTCTTCAACAGGGTTTCTGTCCTGATACCATGGAATCCAGAGGAAAGAGACCTTTTAGTCATGAACTCCCCACCTCCACAATTGTCATTATCTCCTCCTATTTTTGTTCTTACTTGTTATTCTACTTATCTAGGAGTTATTCTACCCTACTGTTCTCCAATTTTGAAGAGTTGAAGTGTGGTGCATGCACATGAAGAATGCACAGAAAGAAAATTCTCCATGGGTTAAATAAATCCTTAATCTCCTAAAGCTGTTGCTTGATAAAGTATTTTATTTCTCTTGCAAATCCTATGAAACTGAACTCAGTAAACTGCAAATGACTATATAATGACTATATAAGCCAGCTCATACGTATTCTCTTAAAATCTGTATTGTAAGGCATTTGTTTGCTGGGAGAGAGGGAAGGAATTAAAAGACTAGACACCAGATTAAAACTAAAATTTTAGACATTACTGACATTTAATCTGTTCAGAGTTTGCCCATCTATTAATCGGTTAAGTAATGGGTCTCAGTATCGAAATACTAACATGCTTGAAGTTATAGTCAATTGACTTCAGGAAAATTGCTAGTAGTGGCTTATAAGCTACTTTTTAAGATTCTCTTCTGACCTAATAAAGAATAACATGTTATATTAATTAGTATCAATGTATTTAATTTTAACCTAATGACAAGACAAGCTTGTTGCTCTAACAGGCATGCTGCTTTATTTCTAGTCTAGTAGTAATAACCACAAAATATATGTAACATCAAAACTACACTTGATCTTGGTTCTCTTCACTCACTTCAATGAATTTTACAAGAAATACTGAGACACTTTTGTTAAGAAGCAATGTAGTCCCTTTGGGACTTGGTGGATATTAAGTCCACACACACCATAGTTCCCACACCATACAGCTATATGTTGTGGTGGGTGGGACAGAATGCATCACTTAAAAACCATACTGTTACACACGTGTGCTTCCAACACTCTCTGAAGTCAGGTGAGTAATTGCCAATCTGTCAAGCCGCAACATGTTCACAGGACTTTACCTTGTCAGCCTGCGTCTTCTGCTGAGCTTCTAAGTTCCCACCCATAACAGAATAAATGTTGATCCACCCATCGAAAGTGGCAGCAGAGAAGACTGAAGGATTCCTAGGACACCACTGGACATCAAAGCACCACTGACTGCGAATGGGCAGCTCGTAAACCACCTATCACAGAAAGAGAGAAGGCAGAAGCACAACATGAATAGTCCCCTGGTTTCCCCAAATTACTTGCCCACAGCAAGCAGGTCACACTTTATTTATATATGACCATTGCATACAAGTCTCTTACTTTTTCTTCTTGAAGGATGCATTGCAACCAAGTTATAGCACATTGAGCCCAAACAACAGAAAGCCACAGAAAGCTGCTATACCACAGGATTCTGATTGTAGAACAAAATGCAAAAGCAACAAGTCAGTACTGTTGTACCTGCTGTTAACCAGGGGAGACACACCAGAAAACAACACAAGAAAACCAGAAGCCAAAGGGGAAGAAGGTGTCATGAGCAAGAACATGTTAACAGAAAGACTAGTCTGGAATAACAAATTTGACAAGGAAAATAAAAGCCTACAGAAAAAAAGTAGAACCACGAAAGAGGGCTGTAGCTGCAGATGAACTATGAAAGATATTGTAGCCAACAAGTTTCTGGACTAGCACTCAAAAATCCAAAGTTCAATTCATGGCCCAGTCACAGATTTCCTGCCTGATGTTGGGCAACTCACTAATACAACCTTGACTTTCAACCTCCAGTTTGTAAAATGAAGGTATTTCCTTTATGCCTCACAGGCACAAAGCACAGAGAATCACAGCTTCCTTCTCTGTGGGAACATGATCTGTGCTTTCTGTTCCCAGGTACAAAAACTTGTATTTTCTTATATTAAAATCTGGATTGCTAAATTAAAAAACAAACAAAACCCAAACACCAAAAAAGGACCAAAAAAACCCCTCAAATATCCCCCAAAAACAAAGAAACCAACCCTTCCCCTAAACTCACCAGATCAGCCATTCTGTATAACTGTACTGTCCTTACTATTGAACACCGTCCCAGTTTTTGTATCACCTGAAAATTTTCTGTTCATTGGTATCAAGTCAAGAACAGCCCCCTAACAACAGTTTGTGCATAAATGCCTAAGCTGAATTTGGACTCTGCAAATCTACAGCAGCATGCATAAAGATGAGCCAGCTGCAAATTTTTTTTTTTTTTTTTTTGCTGTTAAAATACAGTGAAAATACTTTAGTAAAAAGTAGACTTTAGGAACATTTCAGAGTCTGATTCTCTTCTAACCACTAGACATCTGTACAGAGTAAGCATCAAATCCCATGAAACCACAATAGCAGCATTTCATGCATTTTATGAAAATGGATTAATTTTTTTCCATATCTCCAAGGCAAAGGTGGTCAGCTACGTGAAATTGTCCCGTGAAATGAATCCAGCCTGAGGCTCCCAGCTGGACTTTGTTCAGTATTGTTAGAGTCCTTTCCCCATGATATGATTAAGATCAACTACATGAATTTTGTTCAAAGTTCAAAATTCAGTTTTATCCAGAAATTTAGCATTGAATGAGTAGGTGTGCACAAGTAGGAATGAGTAGGAGTTTTTTTTGCACAGACCTGTTTTAATTCAGGTGATGCCAAAATATTTCAAAGATGGTAATTTTGAGATACTTGACTAGATAAACACATACAAGCACTGTACTAAAGTTTACACACATTTAATTACATTGTTCCCTTCTCAATGACCCTAATAACTGCTCCTCATTCTCCTTCAATTTCCCCCTCCAAAAAAACTTACTACCCTAGGAGAACAAAGAAACAAGAAATGGACACAGAGAACACTACATGTGTAAACATAGCAGAAGTAATCATAATTAGCTGAAAGTAAGTTTTAGTTAAAGCTTTCTTCCCTCTATGATCTCTGGACACAGATATATCAGAGAAAATCTCTGCCTCCGTTGTTTTCAGTCTGGATATGGACAACACTTTCATTCACTCCAGACAGGAATAGTACAGAAGACATACTGGAGGAAATTACATTGGCACTCCACAGCGATACAGAAATGGGACACACATATAGCATAGCACACAACTCTGTATAAAGCAGACCATGCGTACTTATAGCTGTGGTTATGTACCTCTCCCATACTTGGGTTCCAGCACAAGATCCGGTTGTCTTTGGCGCTACTCAACAGCAGTTCAGGGTCAGCCTGGCACCAAGAGACAGAGAGAACTCCCCTAAAATAGATCAGAAAGAAACCAGTCATATTTTATACCCCGTCCACTCTCCGACCCTGTCACCAAGAAAGCAGAAATGCTGCTTAATCTCAGAAATTGTTGTCATCTCTACCTTCAATCAGATTCATCTATGAAACAAAGCAGGCCTGGCAAAAAAAATCATAGTTCTCCTAAGTCCAGTCTCCCAGATGTCTGCCTTTTAAAGGTGGAGATCCTTGAAAAAGCAACACAACAAGCAGGCCCTCACCTCGTGTGCCCTTCCAGCTGGCTCAAAGGAGAGGTAGCAAAACGTAAGTCCCATATTTGGATCACTGGCAAGCGGTCATCCTCAGAGGAAAGAACTAGCTGGGTTGCAACTTCTGGATGCCAGGCCATTCCTGAGCAATGCATCTAGGGAAAAAAATAGCATAAGCTGAAAATTCAGTAAAGCAAACTGGCAATAGCACAAATGGCCCAGAGCCACATCATTCTGCACTTAACTGCCTTGAATGCTTTACATAAAGCAAGTCCAGCAATGTCTTGCTGTGGGAAGCAAGTATTTCTACCTTCTCTACAGAGCAAAAAAACCTACTAACCATACAGAAGTTGAAGGACTAGTTCAAAGTTCATCTAGGAAGACAGCTGCAATTAAAATGCAGGAGGTTTCTCATAAATGAGCTGTGAACATAGAAATTGAATGTGAGGGTGTCCTAATTTTAGGAACAGCTAGAGGTCTTGTTTCTCCATTTCATTAGAGAAAAAAAAAAAAAAAAAAAAAGAGGTGCTTCGATACTACAGCTCCAAGAGAACCAGCCCCAACAGTTCCCACAATGAAAACACTTGATCTCAAAGAGCATGCACCACTGCTTTGCAGTCACACGTGATGTGTTGCAAGCTAGTCAGAATCAGTGTCTTTCCTTCACTCACTCTGTTGCTGTGGTCACTGACTTTGATGATAGGCTCATTCTTCCTGAGGTCCCAAACCACAGCCTTGCCACTGGGGTGAGCAGAGGACAGGATATGCTGCACTTGCCGATTCCAGGACACCACACTGATGTCTTCATGAGGCTGCCAAGATAGGAAAAGGCCACACATCCATTATTCCCATGTTGAGAAAACACTAATCACTAATCTAAAGCTAGGGTTTTATACAGACTCCTCTCTTCAATCACTGATTAACTAACTGGAAATAGCAGCACTGACCAGAAGGACTAGGGAGCATGGAAAGTCCTTTACTCAGAATGTAGAGTGGACAGTCAAATGCTGTGGGGGAACCTCACCTGGAAAAGCACCTTTGCATTTTGGGAGCATTTGGACTCTGCATTGGCCAAATGAGTCATAAATCAGTTCTCAGAACTTCTACCCTAACTCCTGCAATGAACTTAAACAGAAAGATGACCTTATGCAACATTTCAGGAGTGCAATGAGATGGAAAATGATGAAGCATGCAAGGGTAATTGCTGTTACTGTATCTACCGCAATGCAGGAGATAGGCAAGGAAACAAATGGGAGGCTTATTGGAGATAAAACTCGGCCTGCTTGTATGCAAGTTTACTACGATTTTTTTTCCCTTTCAGTTGATTGCCCTGAATAACGTAATCAGCATCAGAAGCTTCTTCCTCTTCAAACTCAGGAAACATTATCTGGGAGTAATAGCCAAGATATGTTAAATGGCTCACCAACTCTGCTAGGGATATTACTTTCATGAGATATGAAAAGCTTCAGCTGAAGCCTGAAGTAAATTCATTCCTCAGAGAAGGTCCAATAAGAAGCCTTCTTAATCCACCACACGTGCCCCAGCTGGATCACAAGATAAACTGGTCAGTTACTTGATTCAAATCACCAAAGAGCTTACCCATCCATGCAAAGTGCATCCTTCCAGAGCTCACCAGCCTACCTGCCCTCC